GTTTTAGACCTGTTCCAGGCTGCCGGGATCGCCACAGCACATTGCTACAAATCGCTGCCTCTGTGCGTCGCATTTTTGGCCTCTGCATGCCCCGTTTTTGGCCTCTGTGCGTTGTGTTTTTGGTGGGGATTGGCCGTGGCAGCAGCGATCCCCACTGCCTGGAAGCAGCCGAAAACGCGACGTGCAGAGGCAAAAAATGGGGTGTGTGGAGGCTGAAAATGGCAGAAGGGTGGGGGCCGGCAGGTGGGTGGGACTTCTGCAACATTCGCTGTATAAGATGCACAGACATTTCCACTCACTTTTAAGGGGGGGGGAGTGCGTCTTATATTCTGAAAAATACAGTATTTAATTGATGGTTTGGGAGGAGCAATTTATTTTTCAGGTAAGCTAGGAAAGGGAATAGCCAAATTTTAAAGATACAAGGAAGTGTATTTAGCATATATTCACAATCACTTTTTTCTTATTCCAATCATATGCAACCTTCAAAGCATTCCCAGTGCCAAATTTAACCTTTGATATAGAAAATGTCTTAAAGAAAAGCAGCTGATAACCCTTATTCAGGTCCTTGGATCAATTATTTGGTTTTAGGTACAACACTTCATATTCAAAGAAGCAAGAAAATATTTTGAAATGGCAGGAGTACAGATACACTACCTATCTTTAAAGTAGCTACAGGTAGCCCTTGCTTGGTAATCCTAGTTGGGAATCGAAATTCCATTGCTAGGTGAAGCAGTTTTTAGGCAAAACTTCATGGTGGTTCCATAAGTCCCAGTTGCAGTCATTAGGCCAGGACACATGCTTCTCCTGATTTGCCAGACTTGCCTCTGCTTCAACTCTGACCTGTCCACCCCCCCCCCCCCCACTTTTGGCTGCCTTGCCTGCTGGCCAACCTTGCCTGCCAGCTACCCCCTGACCTTCACTATCTACTTCCACCTCCTCAGCCCAGGGACTCCTGTCAGTGCTGGGCTTGCTGCCATTGCCACCACATCAGATTCCCGATATGCCTTCCCTACTTCAGCAATCTCAGCCCACCATACATTCCCCTATGCATGCTTAGACTGCCTGCCTCACACTGTAGACAGCTCGCTGCCGCTTTCCTCTTTTAACATCTCATTAAGGACCAGCAACTTCCAACATGCTGAAGCCCACAGACTAGTTCTCTGAGGAGCACTTCTAGTACATGCAATATATCTCATGTTGGAGTGCTTCTGGGGAGCTGGTCAGTAGGCTTCAGTGAGGGATAGAGGCAAGCCAGCCCTGGCAGAATCTATCTGCAGACCTTCTGCTTGCTCTGAGCCCAGCCTTCCTCCTGCAAAGACTCGTAAAGGGTCAGTAACTTCCAACATGCTGAAGCCTGCAGACTGGTTCTTCAGAAGCGCTTCTGGCATGCTCTGGACAGCAAATGTTGGATGTGCTCTTGGAGAACTGGCCTGTAGGTTTCAGCAGTTTGTAGAGGCAAGCATAGTACTAAGAGACACTCTGTTTACTCTTATAGCAGTCTGGTGCAAAGCTGAAGCTATCCTAGCCACCCCTAACAGTATGACGCTAAGCTGCAGCCAACCCAGCCCAGCAGCAAGGTATTTTGCAATCTGGAGGGCACTCTCATTAACCTGTACTCCAAGGCTCCTGCTCTGTGCCATCCCAGCTGACTTTTGGAATTTTCCTGCTCCCTCTGCTGAAGATGCTTGCCTGATATGGCCCTTTGTGAGGCAGCTGCTGGCCATGCAAGCCCCCCCCCCTTTTTAAAAAAAATTGATTTATATGCCGCCCTTCTCCGGAGACTCAGGGCGGCTTACAGTGCGCTAAGCAATAGCCTTCATCCTTTTTGTATATTTATACAAAGTCAGCTTATTGCCCCCACAACTGGGTCCTCAATTTACCTAAGGATGAAAGGCTGAGTCAACCTTGAGCCTGGCGAGATTCGAACCTGCAGTAATTGCAGGCAGCTGGTCTTAATAACAGGGTGCTTTAGACCACTGTACTACCAAGGCCTTGCCCCCCCCCCCAAATTGCTATGCACAACTTGTGGGAAGAAGGCCTGGCATGGTCATCAACTGCCTTTCCTGGCCTTCCATATGCCCACCTCCTCTTTAACTCCTCCCACTAATTCCCTTCCACCCTCACATTTTTGCTCTTTTAGCTGCCCTGCACTCTACTGGTTTTGTCTTCCTCCCAAGTTCTTGCAAGGAAAGCAGCTGCTTCATGAAGGGCCAGGCTGGGAGTGTTTTTTCAGCAGTGGGAGCAAAGGCAGTTGGGGCAGTGGAGAGCAGCGGTGGGCAGGACAGTAGAGGCAGCAGAGTGTAGCGTGGCCAAGGGGGGCAAAGAAGTGGGTGTGAGGAGTTGAAGCTCCTCTGCAGTTGAAAGTGTAGGGCTGTTTGCCAAGCGTCTGAATTTTTATCATGTGACTGCAGGGGTACTCCAAAAAGTATAACTTGGGAGACTGAACACAACTACCATTTGTACCATCACTATAACTTTGAATGGTTGCTGAATTAAGGATTGTTAAGTAAGTTCAAATTTCCAAATCTGCAAGTGCCTTCTGCAGCTGCCATGTGCAATGCAATTTTTGTCTTTGAATCCAAAAGTTTGCACAGTTTCATTGGTCAACAGCTTTCTGCTATTGAAACAACTACAGACTAGATACTCTACCCTAAGAAATGTTCTGATGAGGAATTAATAGGGTGGAGAATTGTCCTCTGTTGTCAGGCAGATAGCAACAGGAAAGCCTCATTTGGTAGAAAAAAACGACACAAGTAAATCAGCCTTTGAAGATGTTCTGCTTATCAATCATTGTTGCTTCCTATATTTAAAGACTAAACTATGATTTCTAATTATGGTTTGTTGCTGGAAAATACAGTAAACGTCAGATAAAGGTACAGTGACAAGCACAGGTTTTTGTCGTGTGCTGATTTTCCTATTTCCAAGACCAGGAGGACTTGCTCAGGCGCTCATGCCTTAGTCATCCTCTGTTGGATTACTGCAGTATGCTCTACATGAGGTTGGCCACTCAGACGTTACAACTATCCAGCATGCAGCAGTGCACACAGTTCTGGGTATTTCATGAGTTTCCCAAGTTACATTGCTGTTGCACAAGCTGCATGACTTCCAGTTCCTTCCAGGTGCAAACCCCATCTTTTCCATGGGTGCCCTTGTCCTTTTTGGAATAGCCTCTACTCAGAGGGCTCCCACCCTTTTAACTTTGTGGGAGGGTTTTGAAAACCTGCCTTTTTACTGAAGCACTGAGCTGAGTTGGAAATGAGTTCAGCAAATGTAGAGTTGGTAGGATATTGTGGTGCTGTGATTGTAAACGTGATGTCTTTTGGGAGAAAGTTATATTTTTTGGTTTTCTAGACAATTGGTCTGAGCTGCCTAGAATTATCATGCATAAAATAAGTGGCCACGTAAGTTTTGTAAATGAATAAATGAGCCACAATCTGTGTTACTTATGAACTAAACTTTCCCTCTTTTTATAAGAAACTAAATTTTACACTGGGAGTGGGTAATCTTTGGATCATTTTTATATTTTACACTCAACATATATAAATAAATGAATAAAATTTTTGTGTGGGTTGAGGGTTACAAAGTTTGTGTCATTACATGACATGAGAGTGGCTAGCTTTGTGGAGGAATAGGAATGTGTTTTTTTTAGACAAAGTACTGTATAGAATGCAAGAATTGGACACATCCCCATATGTGCATATCCCACAAGCACATACCCTTTTAATTATTCATCTTCCTTAGTTTTTTCTTTCCCTTAGACATCAACTGTGAACTACTATAGGAAATTAACAATCTGGATCTCTGTTAGTTGACAATCAGTGGCTAATGAGGTTAAAATGTTAGATTTTCTATTTTTAATAGTGGCAAGAAACAGTGATCAATTAATGCAGGTCATGTAAAATCTATTGGTCTGAGATAAAATTTGATTGGACTTTGGAGGGTATGCCTTTTGTGTCTAAAGTTAAAAATTATTCTTTCATAGTTTAGACATTAAAAGGATGATTTTCATAACAATTATTAATATAGAATATTTTATTGGCCAAATCTGATTGGACACACAAAGAATTTGTCTCCTGTGCATAAGGTCTATATACAAACAACAAAATGATAATCATAAGAGGAGAATCACCAATAGGAGAAGGTAGTAGGGAAGATGAGACGGATAATAGTAATACAGCCCTACTACATGGGTAAATATCCTTAGGCATAAGATAGTGCTATGGGAATTAAGTGTTTAGCAGAGTGATGGCATGGGGGAAAAGACTAGCTTTGTGTCTAGTTGTTTTGGCATGCAGTGCCCTATAGCAGCATCCTGAGGGGAGGAGTTGAAACAGTTTATATCCAGGATATGAAGGATCTGTAGATATTTTCTCAGCCCTCTTTCTGGCTCATGAACCTTCATTGGAAGGCAGGCTTATTATAGTTGTTTTTTCTGCAGTCTTAACTATCGGTTGAAGTCTGTACCTTCCTTTTCGACTGCTGTACCAAACCAGACAGTTATAGAAGTACAAATGATAGACTGAATAATTCCTCTGTAGAACTGTAGCAGCAGCTCCTTGGGGCAGTCTGAGCTTTCAGAGTTGACGCAGGAAGAACATCCTTTGTTGTGCCTTTTTAATTATGGTTCTAATGTTAACTGTCCATTTTATGTCCTGGGAGATTATAGAACCCAGAAATGTGAAGGTCTCGACTGTTGATACTGTGTGGTTTAATATTGTAAAAGGTAGTAGAATAGGAGGGTTCCTCCTAAAGTCCATTATCATATCTACGTTTAAGAGTGTTCAGCTCCAGATTGTTTGGGCTGCACCACAGGGCCAATTGTTCAACCTCCCATTGGTTGCAGACTCATCACCATCTCGAATGAGGCCAATGACTATAGTTTCATTGATATGTCCAATATATTATGTCATACATATGACTAATATATTAAATTATGTCTTGGAAATTTTTCTCCTCCAGCATAGATTTAACAGTATCTCATCTTTTCCTTGTTGTTCCAGGAGACAAAGATGGCAGCAAAGTGACTACAGTAGTAGCAACTCCCGGACAAGGTCCAGATAGGCCTCAAGAAGTTAGTTATACAGACACTAAAGTGATCGGGAATGGATCTTTTGGTGTTGTTTATCAAGCCAAACTCTGTGACTCAGGAGAGCTGGTTGCCATTAAAAAAGTTCTGCAAGACAAGAGATTTAAGGTAAAGGCATAAAAAACATTCTTAAGAATAACCTCTGTCCTCTTTCATTCCTTTCTGATTGATTTTTCTCCAAAGAGCATATTATGTGCATTGACATCTCAATATTTCAAATATAGTCTGGTGCAAAACAGAAATATTATGCTGAAATATAAAGTATTTTTAATGAGCTGATAGATGGACAATAAGAAAAAGAAAAATTGACTGATTTAGTGGTTTTATTTTAGTGATAAAGATGAGGGTTTTTTCTTCAAAAAATCTGAATATCGTTGCTTAGGGAAAATAAATTAATAGGATAATTTTAATTAATTTTACAATAAGCTTTCAATTACTATTTTATAGAGATCACTAGATCACAGTTTATTTTCACTGGTTTGTTGAATAATAATTGGTTGAATTATTTAGTGCTTTGAGTTCTAAATCATGATTTACAAAGTACAGTGGCTGAGGTGCAATACTTGAAACTTGTAGATATTAAATCATATTATAAATAGCTAATATATTAGGTATTTGCAATTTTATAAACCATTTTAATTGGATATGGCTTTTTTTTAAACTTAATTTTCTGTTCTTGGTTTATATCCACCTAGAATGCTATTAGTTTACAAACACCAAATGGCATTTAAGTTGCATTTTTATTTGCGTACATGAATTTCTGTATCTCATTCTACAAATGCTGAGATAGTGAAGTTTCAGAAGAATTGCCTGGAAGTTAATTTTTCAAAAAACAAAACCTGGCATGTTTTTTTTTAAATAAAGGTTTGGATATTTGGTTATTTAAGCTTTGATTGATTTATTAATTTATATTTGGTTATTTGGTTATTTTTCAGTAAGATTCCTTAAATTTAATGTTCTAAAAAGAAATTACATAGGTATGTACCAGTGGTGGGTTGCTACTGGTTCACCCCAGATCGGGCGAACTGGTAGCGGTGGCAGCGGGAGGCTCCGCCCACCCACCTGCACATGCGCAGATGCGTGCGCGCACCCACGAGTGGACTGGTAGCGATGGGTTTTGAAACCCGTCCCTGGTATGTATATATAGCTGAATAGGTCATTTTGGCCAGCAAATTCAGCCTCATTCTATATGGCGAGTTCCAAATGAAAGCATTCCCAGAATTTATTTATTTGATTTTTTATTTGAGGAAGGAATAGAGAATTGTCTCTGTTCCTTCTTAAAGCACAGTCATTGAAGAGGAGCTTGTCTCCTCTGTAGTTAATTAAATTCATCGTTGAACTGCCCTTATTGTTACAATATTTTCCTTAACATTTTGCCAGTATTTGACTTCCTTTAATTAAAATGTATTGATCTGGAATGGTACGGAACAAGTTTTGAGTGTCTTCTGATGACATTGTTTTAGATACATGAAGGCTATTTACTCCTCTGTTCTCAAGGCTGTTTTTCCCAAATGTTACTTAAAAGTACTGTTGGCCAAGCCAGGTTTCCCCCCAAAAAACCTTTCATTTCTTTTTCCTGAGTGAAGAAATTTGCATTTGTCTTGGTTGAATCTTGATAAAGATTCACAACTCATAAAGTTGTGAGGAATCTTAACCCTTATCTTCTTCAATTTCCTATTCATTGAAAGATCTATTAGATCATCTTTGACAGATGACCATTCAGCTTCTGTTTGAAGAGCTCTAGCAAAGTAGAACTCACCATTTTAAGTAGTACCTGTTCTACATGCTGACAGCTTATATAGTCAAGAAGTTCCTATCTAACTTGAATTAACTTCCCTGTATTTTCAGTCTGTTGGTTCTGTCTTTCTTTTTGAGGCAACAGTTAATGCCCACTTTCTCTCCTATGTGACAACCTCGGAACATATTGAAGATTGCTATCATATCTCCCCCTCGGTTGTATCTTCTATAGGCTACGCATGGTAGATTCTTTGGCTCTTCTTCATAAGGTTTGTTTACAGATCTCACAGTTTCCTGGTAGCCTTCTGAACCTGCTCCAGTTTGCTACCCTCATTTTTTTGATCATGGTGCCCAGAATTGGACTCTAAATAGGAGTTTGAATAAGGCAGAGTGGAACAATCACTTTAGATTCTGCATTTCCATTAATGCTTCCCAAGTTGACATTTGCCCTATTTGTAGTTCCATAGTGCTGTTGCCTTTTGTTCAACTTGAAGTTGACAAGGACATCCAGATTCTTTTCACATATATTAATATTAAGCTATGTCTCCACATCCTTATACCTATGCCTTTCATTTTCCTTACCCAAATTTGGAACTTTATATTTTAGACATTTATTTCAGCTCATTGCCCAAGGCTCTCTCCATCTTTTAAAATCTCCCACTCTCTAATCATCCATCCCAGCATTGTCTCATAAACTTTCTGGGTGACTTTCAACCCCATTATCCAAGTCATTGTGCTTTGTTTATGTTATAGTAAGCTAACTATCCAAGTTTTTGTATCACAAGAAAATTTGATAAAACATTTTTTAAAAAAAATTTTTTATTAAAAAGTTTTTTATTTTAAACACATTAAAAACACATTAAAAATCAAACTTATACATACAACAAAAAATAACACAAAAAAAGAAAAATATCACTTTTCTTTTCAGCTATACACAGCGGTCTGCTCTTTCTATACATCAATATTTACAAATATTTAAGTATAAACTTATTTGACGTTCATTTTCTACTTTATATCATTTCTTCTTTACTAACAAAAGATCATACACATTTTCTCCCTCCTTTCTTCATTCATTTAACTTATTCCCTTATGTTTCAACCATTCGTAGCATCTACTCCAAACCTTATAATACTTTGATTCTTCTTTCCCCTTAATTTCTTTAGTTAATTTATCTAATATTGCACATTCTAGAATTTTTTAAATTAAATCCTCTCGGTTGGTAGTGTTTCCTTCTTCCAATATTGTGCGTATACAATATGTGCTGCAGTCAATATATGCAATATAAGGTACTGTATTTCTTTAGTATAATTGTCTATTGAAATCAGGGTGGATAAAAATCAATGATTTTTTTAAAAAAATAAAAAAAAAATCAGATTTTTTGATTTAAATCGATTTTTTTAAATAAAATGCTTTTTGAGGAAAATATATTACCATCCAAAGGTTATTCCATCATGAAATAAAGATTAGTTTTTTAATTCTGTAGAATAAGGCTGTATCTGTTTAATTTTTTTGGTAAATAAATTGCATTAATCCATTCACAATGTCATGCTCTTCCAGAGGTTTTTGTAAGATTATTGGGCAGTTTCTCTGCCTACAAGATATTATCACAGATGCTTGGTTTACTTTTGCAGTTCTCAAAACTGAATTTGACTCAGCAGAGATCACATGCCTCTTCTTCACAGCAAAAATGTTATAACATGAACAGAATCGAGAAAAAGACCTTAATCCTATTGTTCTACAAACCTATGAATACAGAATCAACCCCTTCAGTGCTAAGTTTCAAGAAGTTCAGTGAATAGAATAGAAACAATATTTTTCTGATTGTTTGGAGTGGAATAGATCTGCACAAGAAGAAAGTGAAACTAAGTGTGAGGAGGAAGGGGAAAGCAGACAAGCAGTACAAAATGAAAGTGAAACTTTCTGAGCACAATACTGCACAGCCACAGACAGACAAGTCTTTGGATCTTTTTGTGTGTATGACCTGAGGTTTATCACATTCTTTCCTTGGAGGAAAAAACCTATAATGGCAGCAGGCCGTAAAAGAGACCCAGTTTGGCAATATTTTAATGAAGTTCCTTTACCTATCGGTAAGGCAGGCATGCGTGCAAACTGCAAACACTGCAACAAAGAAATGCAAGGCCTGGTGGCCCGAATGAGGCAACATCATGAGAAGTGCTGTGATGAAGATGACCAAAGAAACACATTTGAACAGGCAGGATCTTCAGGTTGGTAAACATTTTTATTGAATCATATTTCTAAAGACTGCCTTGAACTGTCATGTTTGAGCAAAATTATATTTCTTATTATTACTGCATGTTACTATCATTTGGTACAGTTATGAAGAAAAGCAAAAATTCCTTTTGGGGCAGTGCTGTGTACAATAAGCAGAAATTGTATAAACAATAAAATAACAGCATTGACTTTTTTGTTTAGGGGAATTCATGGATTCTGGAAACTATCCACCTTCAAGATCACCATCCTCCTGTTCTACAGTTTCAGAGTTATCCATCCGGGATAGTGCTTCATTAGCATTATCATTATCAGACACCCACAGCCACATATCACTATCACCTAAAAGAAAGAAAAAACCCTTCCCTCCTGGAACCACCATAGATAAATTTGTGATAAAAACTAGCAGATTAGAAAAAGTTAATTGATAAAAAAATTGCCCAGTTTGTTTATTCAACGAACTCTTTCCGTCTGACTGAGAACTCACATTTCATTAATATGGTTCAGTCACTGAGACCAGGATACAGTCCACCCAGCAGAGCAGATGTTGCAGGGAAACTGCTGGATAAAGTGTATGACAGAGAAATGGAGCAATGTGCAACAGCTCTGGAGGGTGGAATTGTTAACCTAAGTATTGATGGGTGGAGTAATGTCCACAATGATCCTATTGTATGTGCTTGTATAACAACAGAAGAAGGGAAAGTCTTCCTTGCACAAACAATTGATACGTCAGGAAATGCACACACAGCAGAATACTTACAAGAAGTGGCAGTAAAAGCTATAATAACATGTGAACAAAAATTCAAATGTCTAGTACGCAGTTTGGTCACAGACAATGCTGCAAATGTATCCAAGATGAGAAGAAATTTAGAAGAGCAGGAAGGGAATACAAAGCTAATAACATACGGTTGCAGTGCTTATTTGCTGCACCTCTTAGCCAAAGACTTAAGTGTTCCAGAAATAAAGACAAATGTTGTTGAAATTGCTAAATACTTCCGTAACAATCATTTTGCAGCAGCAGCTCTGAAAAGGATGGGTGGAACAAGCTAACGCTCCCACAAGATGTTAGATGGAACTCTGTGGTGGACTGTTTTGAGCAGTATATCAAGAACTGGCCTATTCTGATGACTGTTTGTGAAGAA